TCTGTTCTCCTCAATTTCGATTTCTAGGTTTTCTGAAATTTGGGGAAATTTTGGTGTTGCATTGCAGAGGCTTCTTGGAGGGACGAGAAGCCGAAGAAGAGGCAGAGGAAGAATCTGTACAGAGGAATTCGTCAGCGGCCATGGGGGAAATGGGCGGCGGAGATTCGTGACCCGAGAAAGGGGATCCGCGTTTGGCTTGGGACCTTCAACACCGCGGAGGAAGCCGCTCGAGCTTACGATAGAGAAGCTCGGAAAATCCGTGGTAAGAAAGCCAAGGTTAATTTCCCTAACGAAGATGATGAGTATTCGATTCAAGCTCGATGTAATCCCCCGAATTTCCAGAACGTGAATCCTCTGTTACAGAGTCAATTTAGGGCGAATTTGTTTAGTGTACCTGAAGTTTCTGATTATGGAGGATTCCGCTGCGATCTGAATCAGATCGGTGAAATTCCGACTAGAGGTTTCAACGTGAACCTAACTCCGGCGATCAATGAGGAACAATCCGGCTCTGGATCGGAGAATTCTTATCCTCCGCCGGAGGGATTAGGATTAGGTTTCAGTCAGAATCTGAACACCGTGGAGTTAGGTGTGAAGGAGGCGGAGGAAGAGCCGGAGCAGAAGGTCGCCGCCGTTGCCGCGGCGGAGGAAGAGAACGAGGTGCAGAAGCTTTCAGAGGAGCTCATGGCGTACGAGAACTTCATGAAGTTTTACCAGATTCCATACCTCGACGGCCAGTCGGCGGTGACGAATCCGGCGGAAGAACAGGTGGTCGGAGATCTCTGGAGCTTCGACGACGACGACGGCCATCACGGCTCTGTGTCGTCTTCTGATTTGTGATGATCGGCAATAACTTCTCTTGAATTTCTTCGTTGAAATTCTTGCTCCTCCTCCCTTTATTTTAATTGCTGTTTCTTGTTTAATTTCAGAATCAGTTGGTGTAATTTTCAGTTCTGGAACGATGTCAATTTGTTGATATGAAATTGTTTTTTGTATTCTGTTTTCTCAATATTTCAGGCCAAGAGATGGTGTAAAAATCCAAGCAAATATTATATTGATTCGTTATTCAATATTCAATGATTATCGATAAATTTTCCTCTAAGGCTAAAATTAAAGAATATTCCAATCCAAATCAATCCAAAAGTTCAAATCTTAATATTCATTGCAATAAAAATAAATAATGATAAAAAAAAAAGATTCCAAACCTCACGTCAAAGTTTTCGAATTTTTATATTACCATTTTTTTTCAATATGAAATTAATAAATAGATGAGCATATAAGGTGGAGACATTAAATAAATAAATAAATTCGTTGAAAATAATATTGGAGACGAAAAATTCCTTTTTCTCTTTTATTTCATCTTGGAGTTAAGAGAATCTTTTTGAGTATTACGTATTTATCAAATTTTCACAATCATTTATTTAATAAATAAGAAAATGTTAATCTTTTTAGAGGGATTTTTTTTAATCAATCTTCTTGTTTGTCAAATAAACATAAAAATGAATATTTTCTTCTTCTTCTTCTTCTTCTTTGTGATGGAGAATAAAAATATTCGAGAATTGAATTTCATGTTCAAGAAAACTATATTTTAAATATCTGAAAGATTCCATTTTGTAGTATCATAGAAATTTTGAATTAATTGTTTGGCCCGACGATTGTCAAAAAACAAAATTTGTTTGGTCCAACGTGGCAAAAAGAGCATCGACGTGGATTATTAGGAGTGGTAGTTTTGTAATTATGAGGCAAAAAAAGTGCAAATTGAGAATGGCAGATTTTGCATGGCAGACAATAAATATATTATTATTTTCTATGGTCGGACAAAACAGTGGGCGCTCGTTGGGAGTGATGGTTTTAAAACTAGTACGTTTACTTTACTACTTCGAGAATTTGCGATATGTCGTACTCTTGTACTTTCGCTCCCACCGCCAATCCAACTCTGTACCTTTCCTTATGATTTTGAATAAGTTTTGCTTATTATTATTATTTTTTTTACTATTTAATCTAGAACTTTATAATATAATAAATTTATGGCACGAATTAGTAAAGTTTTGGTTTTTTATTTTCTGTTTCTCATTTCTCATCTACTGGTTTTATTTTTAATTTTTTTAGAACTACAAACATTAATCCTTCTTGTTTCTTATTTTTTTTTTTAGAAAAAAGATAAAAATAAAAGTATGTTTATAACTATTTTTTATTTTTATTTTTAGTTTCTATTGAAACTAGAGAGTTACTTAAATCTTGCATAGTCTTTATTAAAAGGATAAGGCCATATTTATAGGCCATGACAAATCAGTTACAATGACAAGAATATTGGAGTTATTTAACTAACTGATAAACAAGTTCTAATTCTTCCTCAAGATGGAAAAACGAGTATAGTTCAAGTGGTTAAGGCACTTATCTCTATCATGAATTTGATCCCCCACCTCCACATGTTCCTCCACATGTTGTATAAAAAAAAATTACTTCATCTCAAGATAAACGACAAAGCCATGCTCGCTTCAGCATTTTTAGTAGATTTTTTACTATTCAAACTTTTTTAAAATTCATAAAATTATTTCAAAATTTTGAACAAATCATAGATCTATTACATACTTTTCAAGTTGATGGACCTATTAGGTACAAAATTGAAAGTTTAGATACATTTCTAAGTTTAGGGTCCTATTAACTATCCATGCAAAATTTAGAGAACCTTCTTTTTTAAATTAAATTACAAATTTTAGTCTATAAGCTCTGAGAGTATCGTCAGGTCGGTGTAATTTTTGTGTTCTATGACAGTGAATTCAGTGGTGTAAATTATAGTGATCATGCTATCGTGGAAAAAAAAAAGGCTAGAAAGCTCAGGTGAAAATTCCCAATTGGATCTTGCTACTTTGAAATTCAATTGTGTTTTTTGATATAAGCACATGAACTTTTCAATGGTGTACTTATAAGTTTAACGAACTTGAACATCTTCAACTGATTAAAGTGTATTAAAAAAACTTACAAAATTTTAAAGTGTCAAATAAGTACTTGAATTTTGAATTTTGTATCCAATAAATTTCTTAACGTTAGACAATGTCTACATGGACATAAAATTAAAAATTTAAGAAGCAAACTTATAATTAAAATTTGTTTTCAGAACACATACGAGGTTGGAGAATCAAACCTATAACCTCTCAAGTGAGGTAAAAATGACTTAAACATCAAGTGATTTTTAAATAAAGTTTATATATATTTTTATATTTTAAAATATAATGTTCAAAATGTAGGACAGAAATTTTAAAATTTCACTTATAATAAACTTTATGAATCTATTTATAAGTTGAAGCTATGTTTGCCTCCCCTTAATAATAAAGCATCCTAAAATTGATGAAAATGAATATGTATGTGTATGTGAAAATAGGTACTTGACACATTTCTATCACGAGTTCGAAGCCCCCTATCTCACTTTATTAAAAAAAATGACACGTATACATGATTGTAATTTAAAATGAGTGAAAAAAATCCATGTAACCATAGTGAGTTGCATTGTACAATAAAATTAATAACCAATTTTTCAAATTTTCAAAAATAACATAAATTTATATTTCTCAACCTAAGTAACTTATTTTTTGTTTCCTCTCAAATAGTATAACTTTTCAGGTCTGTGTTATTAATATAAGATATCATACCATAAAATTTAATGGACGCCTCTATAGATGACTTGTCAAGTTAGAGTTTGGTTTCTTCTCAATAGAGATAGTAACTTTAATCAAAGCACGAGACTAATAATAAAACTATTAGTTAATCTTAAAAAATTATTGAATATGTCAAAGATCTATTAGATGCTAAATTAAAAATTCACTAATTTACTGCACCTTTAAATATTAAACACAAAATTAAAAGTTTAGAGACTAAACTCGTAATTTAACCTTATTTTTCAATTATCTTTTCCTTTCTACCTAACATACATGAGCAGCATTTGAGAAATCAGGGCCTTGGAAACCTAAAGAAAGCCGAATCCATGAGGCCCATTAAGATAAAAGCCCATTATATCATTTCAGATCCACAAATAAGGAGCTTTTAATGGGCCGGTTATGAAGCCCAAAAAATGTCCAGTAATTGGGAACCCTAACCCTAGGGCAGAAAACGCAGCACTGTCTTATATATAAATAGCGGAACAATCACTCGCGCGGTTCTCTCGAATTGCAGCTGCCCAGAGGAGGTGTGGAGAAATGGTGTCGCTCAAGCTTCAGAAGCGCCTCGCCGCTAGTGTTCTCAAGTGCGGCAGAGGCAAAGTCTGGCTGGATCCTAATGAAGTCAATGAAATCTCCATGGCCAATTCTCGTATGCTCTTTTCCTTTTCTTCCATTCTCGATCCTTTTTGTTTCCTTTAGGACTGCTGGGTTTTGATTTTGATATTTTCGTTGATTAAGTTGCTTTTGGTTGCGGGAGATGTCATAGGAAGTTTATTGCTTAATTTGAGTGGTACGCGAAAGCTCTCAAGAATTAGGGTTTTAGTTCGATCTACTTGGTTGAAATACAGTTCGTTAAAGACTCCTGTTTGAATTTTGTTGGTTTCGTAAAATTGTTTATTGCCGGATATTTGGTCTTTGAGATTTCTTTTTCTTATTTATACTATTTTTTTATTTTTTGCCGGATGTCCTAGTCTAATACGTGAGAATATGAAATATCGCAACTTTTATTTTAGTATGTGGGCACCGTTTTGTTTTCTGTTTTGGGTTGATTTATAGGAAGTTGTGTCGATTGCAGGCCAAAACATTAGGAAGTTGGTCAAAGATGGTTTCATTATCAGGAAACCGACGAAGATCCACTCTCGTTCCCGTGCTCGTCGTATGAAGGAGGCTAAGAGGAAGGGACGTCACTCGGGATATGGTAATTTTTTTTGAGTTTCTGCTACTTGTTATAGATGAAGAATGGACGCTCTATTCGTGCAGATTTTTGTGCTGGCGTGCAGGACATTGAAACTTTGAAAAACTGTTCTTAAAATTTTAAATCAGGCATAAATACTTGCCTCAATGAAAATAGAAATAAATAAATAAGTAAAATATAATATAAATGCTTTAGGATTACAAACAAAAGGAAATATAACAACCAAATTTTACTTTATAAACCATATGTAATTGCGTAGGAAGATGTGGGAGATGATGTTTATGAGGGAATGGTATGTTTTTTTCCTTCTTGGTAAGATATGTCTATGTTTTAGTACATTTGACCTTGCATTAGGGATGTTAACTGTTTTTTCCCTTGAGTTAATATAGTTTACCGTTTGATATTTTAATTTTCTTTAATTTGAAAATGGATATTTCCATTTACAATTTTTACAGCATATAATTTATCGTGCTTAGCATTCAAATGTGTCAGGAATTGGAACATTGGTTGATCGATGTCTGTGTAAATTTAAAAGTAATAGGGAACTAATTGTTATATCATAAGTTTTTACAGTAGTTAAGCAAGAAGTGCTTGTATGTCATAATTATTATCAATTTCTTCACTCTAGTGCTTTTATGTTTACTTCATCACTAATTATGTCTGTTACATTTAGGTAAGCGTAAGGGTACCAGGGAGGCTAGGTTGCCCACCAAGATCCTCTGGATGAGGAGAATGCGTGTCCTGAGGCGATTACTCCGCAAGTACAGGGAGTCGAAGAAGATTGACAAACACATGTATCATGACATGTACATGAAGGTGAAGGGTAATGTTTTCAAGAACAAACGTGTGCTGATGGAAAGCATCCACAAATCAAAGGCTGAGAAGGCAAGAGAGAAGACGTTATCCGATCAATTTGAGGCTAAGAGAGCAAAGAACAAGGCTAGTAGGGAAAGAAAAATTGCCAGAAGAGAGGAGCGGTTGGCCCAGGTATCCGATCAATCATGTTATAATTGAAATGATTCCTCAATAATTCTTAAAATAAGCTTGACGACATACAATTTTCTTTGTCATGCCAAACCTACTGCTCCATTCCTCAAGTTCCTTAGTATTAGTTTTACTTAATGCCAGAATACTGACTTGGCCTTGTCATTTAGGGACCTGGAGAAAAACCAGCCGCAGCTGCTGCCCCAGCTGCTGCATCTCAAGCTACTCAGTAAGTATATAATAGCTGCTGATGTTTTTTACATGTGATGATCAGATTAAATCTGATTTATATAATGAACCCACCCACCTTCTTTCTCTTGCAGGGTATCAAAAAAAGCAAAGAAGTGAATTTCTGATCGTTCGTAGATCCTCAACTACTGTACTGGTTTTGACCACTTTTGTCGTTTTTCTTGTTTTGGACAATTTTCCTTGTTATCAAAATCCCAGACGAATAGAGATTTACATCTATAATTTTTCTAATTTATCAATCGTTTGATCTTTGGTTCTTTTTTCTTTTAAATTGTTACAAGATTTTCTCAAGCCTTATTAGTAGATTTCTTTAACGTGAGTGCTCTTCCATACAGAAGTTTGAGACCTTCGAAACTTTCCGTCAACTGCTGGTTGTCTTCAATGTGTAGTTTTGTATGGTAGGGATGGAAGAAATAGTTGTGAATCTGAGTTCTCGACTGCATTTTTTTCATGATAAGTATGGTTCTTTCTTTATGATGGTCATGGTTAATACATTTTCTCTTGAACGAAATCCAAGAATAAAGAAGAGATTATAGAGCCGCCTTGGTGATTGATTATGCAATGGGAATATATCCCTGGTGGACGGTGGGGTGTAGGAGAGAGAGAATAAAAGCGAGATAAAGTGGACCTCTCACTTTGTTGCCATAAAGCAATCTTGTTCGCTCAAAGCAAGCATGCCAAATCATCAAATGTCCAAAGGGGTGGAAAAACTTGCTTGGAGCTTGGTGGACACTGCCTGCTACCTTCCACACTCCAAACATGTGTCAATGAACTTGACTGATCCATTCTTAGAACATTCAAATGAGTCTTCTACAAGAACAAGTTTCATAATTTTTGAACGGACAGCAAATCTCTCGTTTGGTTATAATAGGAGCTCACTCCCTGCAAGCCTCGGCACTCTACCATTGATCAAATGAAATAGTTTTCACCAAGCTATATTCTTTTTCTTACCATGGCTACGAGAGCTAGTGGTTGCAGAAATCAACTTCAAAATATCATTTCGTTTATTAAGCCTCAAGTAATGAGAGCTTTAAAAGGTAGAAACTCAAAATTATTGGAAGAATACTCTACGAAGCAAGGAATTCATGTTCTTACTTTGATATTTAACGGAGGGCATATAGGAAATCGCAGCACTCCACTTGTAAACTACATTATATGTATATGTATATGAATTGTATAAAATATTTTTATTACAATCCACCATTTATAAGAAAAACGCACCAAAGAGATGCAATAATCAACGTACCACAAAAAATGTATCCAAAATAAATTATTAATTACTTCCGGTGAGAGAATTTTCTAGAAAATACAAGAGGAACGACCACAATCCTTAGGAGAGATCCTATTATATGTGGTCTTTTTATTATCCAGTTCAATCCTCATAAAAATGGATTTCTTCTTCCTTTTAGGAGAAAAATGAAAGTACCTATCAAAATTATTTTGATGAAACAATGAGCCAAACACAAAACAACTTTTTATCAATCAGATGGACCAATCATCTTCTCAGGCACCACATGTTTATCAAACTCTTCCTCGCTTAGAACTCCAAGCTTCAATGCAGCGTCCTACAAAATTATATACCAAAACGAGCCATTTGACAATTTAGGTAATAATAAAAATATGGACCAAAGCTAGCTCAGCGGTAATTGGCATATATCTCCAACCAAGAGATTGTGAGTTCGATCCTCTATCCACATGTTGTACTAAAAAAAGATATATGAGTTTAAATCCTATTTTGGTTGTGTATTTATATATTCTCTAAACTTACAAATGTCCTATTTTTAGTCCAGACAATCTAATGTGCTTACCATTTGAATTTCCCTAAATCATTTAACAAGAACCTAAATGCATTTGAAAACTTGACACCCAACTGACAACACATGACTTACAGATGCCTATTGATTAGGCTAATGAATAAGGAGATACCCATATCAAACTTCTATTAACTAATTTATTTAAAAATGAGTGACTTTGACTAAATAGTTCTTTATGCACAACTTTAGAGATAAAAAAAAATGTTTGAAAGTTTAAAGACTAGAAACAGTATAAGCATGAAATGTTTAGAGATGAAAATAAGATTAAACCTATACAATTAGGATTATAAATGTAATTCAAACGCAATTCATACCTTCAAAGTGGATCCTTCCTTGTGGGCTGTCTTTGCAACTGCAGCAGCATTGTCGTAACCAATTTTCTGGAAACAGTATGCATGAACACGTTATCAAACAATGTTCCAAGCCTAAGGAAAATGTGAGCTTTCTAGTTATGATCACTTACAGGGTTCAAAGCTGTGACGAGCATCAGCGACTGCAAGGCCATCGAATTTAAGTGCAGAGATATACACAAGAATCATCATCAGCCAAAATCTTCAACACAAGCGGTGTAGCATAAAATTATCTTTTTCAAATATTAACATAAAACTAACCTCACGCAATAATTTCGAAATTCTTTCCGTGTTAGCTTGAATTCCTCTTACACAGTTCTTTTCAAATGAAGCAGAAGCATCTCCTAATAATCTCAATGACTGCAGAGCCAGAGTTCGAGATGAAGGTTCAATAAATCCAGAATATTTATTTCTAACTCTATATATATATGTGCGTGCGTGCATGTCATTTGAGGACGATAAGCAGATCGAGTGATCGACAATATGATAAATGAATCTCATAGCAGATGGTGCAACCACAAGATAATAGTTTAGTTTATGATATCATTATTTAAACATAATATCTAGAAATAACAACGATAAAGAGATACTACAGAACTTACATGCAAAAGAGCATTGGCGATCATTGGCTTAAATACATTAAGCTCAAAGTGTCCATTTGATCCACCAACCGTTACTGCCACATGGTTTCCCATAACCTGTAAAACATGAAGAACTGTCGATCGCATCTAATATATATTTTTTTTTAATTAAAAAATTAGAAACAAACTTTTAATTGATTTATTTAAAACAAATAAACAAAATATTAACAAAAATTTGTTGGAACACATTGAACTAATTAAGGTTCAAGAATGACAATATATTACATATATGAAACTAGTCACTGATAACCAGAGTATGCATAGCTTAGAATGGTAACTCAAAATTTTTGGGGAACAAATGGAAACCAACATAATTAGTTGGATCTATATTAACTAATTCCTCTTTCAGCATCACATAATGAACTATGCTAGAAGGTAACTATACCTGAGCACAGACCATAGTGAGAGCCTCGCACTGAGTAGGGTTGACCTTCCCCTAGAACCAGAAAAAATTGTTAAGCTTAACAAGCCCAAAGCATTGAAACATAGCTTCTGAAAGACAGACAGACACGCATGTGCCCCCAAAACACAGAGAGAGAGACAGAGAGATTTACTGGCATAATACTACTGCCTGGCTCATTTTCGGGAAGAATAAGTTCACCAAGACCACAACGTGGACCACTGTATACATGAAATGAGGGGGGAAATATTAGATAAAGAAAGACAAGAAATGATACAGTGCTAGGATCGACGAAATTAATGCATATAAACCTTCCCAACAGGCGTATGTCATTAGCAATCTTCATCAAGGAAGTAGCAACTGTGTTAAGAGCCCCACTAGTCTCAACAAAAGCGTCATGTGCCGCCTAGCAAAACAAAATATTCCAACATAAAAAAATGGTTCCATGTATGAAGGAAGGCAACACCAAACTGTGCAATAAAAAACAAAAGAGAGGGAAGATGATGCTCCTTCAATTGACTAACCAGAGCTTCAAACTTGTTTTCTGCCGTCACAAACGGGAAATTTGTTTCTTCAGCTACTGCTGCAGCTATCTTCACATCAAATCTGAATAATAGACAGCGCCAATCTCAAAATAAGAAATACGCTCATCCGTCTGGTCTTGAAGCACAATATAAGAAAACTAGATATTTTTTCTTATTCATACTAATTCGAAAGAAAATATACCCTTTCTTTGTGTTCAATCCAGTTCCAACAGCAGTTCCACCTTGGGCAAGCTGTACAAATGGAATTCTGAAGTGTCAAAAATAAAAATAGCAAAAGGAATTGAAAAAATACCTGGAACAATTACAAGCATCACAACCTGATACATTCGAGGTAGAGTGCACAAGACTCTGTCAATACCATACTTCACCTGCAGCCCAAGCACACACCAATCAGAAAATTATTTATATGCATCGTACTCTATTTCTTCTTTTCAATAGGCATCAGGACCACCAAAACTTTCACAACCACAAAGAGAAAGAAAGCATACTTGTGTGGTATAGCCGCTGAACTCTTGCCCAAGGGTTAATGGTGTGGCATCTTGAGTGTGAGTGCGTCCAATCTTAACAATATCTTTGAATTCAATGGACTGTTTGGATCATAACAGAGTAATATAAGGAATTACAGACTTAAATTAAGGTGCAAAGGGCAAATAAAATGCAAAGGAGCAGGGAGTGTAAATAAACACATACAATCACTACCATACAACTCAGTTAAGAAGTGTTCAAACTAACAGATGGTAAATCAGATTCAAACTATGTTATGATCTCCTAATGCTTTCCATGCTTTTTAGACATTCAGCTTAATCCATGCAATCAAACAAACATGACCTAAGATTATGACTCAAACAGGCTTCTGTAAATAAATTAAGGTCGGATTATTTAAAACATGTAAAGATGCAAACAAAAATTTGAAATTCTGGGCATCGTATCTCTAATAAAAATCAAACCTTTGAGTTTAGTGATGAATGCAAAGTTTTCAATTTTGGTATGAATCTGGAATTAATTTCTGTTGCAGCTGCTATGTGCATTACCTGTAAAAGGAAATCAGTAGAAATCATCAGAAGTGAGGAAAAAACTCTTGTCAATTGAGACAAATAAAAGTAGTAATGGCATAAAAATTTGACCAAAGTAGTAATGGCATAAACTTTGATCATTAAAACTTCTATGGAAAAAAGAAGTTTTGCCATGGAAAACTGCTAAACTTTATTGGTTATTTACAGAAAAAGAGTTGGAATAACAATACACAAAATAACTTAAGAAAGCAAATGACTAACAGTTGGGAATGTATCATTAGAAGATTGTGACCGGTTAACATGGTCATTCGGGTGCACAAACTTCTCACCACGTTTATGGCCAAGGATCTCTGATGCTCTGTTAGCAATGACCTGCCACAAAAATAGTATGTCCACAATTTTGTACCATTCAAGTAATCAACTAACAAAATATACCCTCAGAGACGTTATAAGAAGATTACTCAACATATTACCCTATGTTCTGCAATCATGTGCGCATAACATTCATATTAGATACTTCAAATATTATTGAAGGGAAATGTATATCTTATTGGAGGAAATGCTTTTCTGTTCTCAAGAGACTGTACTTTAGGAAGACTCGGTGAATTTGACTACATAGGGAAGGGAGGGGGTGAAAAAAACTGTAGTCATCTTACAACGTCTTCAATTCAACCATCAGTAACCACTAGTTTGGAAGCCGCATACTTCACGTACATGGCATTATAAATTTAAGCCATGGAGTTCAGGAAATAATTAGATTTGAACTTTGCATTAGATTCAAGAATGGCGATTGACGGAACCTAATTTTCCAAGGAAAGCAAATCTCTCCCATGGGAGAGTTGTATATTAAGGGATTAAATACCACATGCCATCACATCTGCCGTTAATAAGAACTCAAACCTAACATAAAAACAGTGACCTAGCCTTTCATGCTTCCTTGGGTAAAAAATACCACGACAACGTGATCAAAGAAAGAGATTCATGTAAAAGAAAGAAATATGTAAGACTTTCAATAAGATCCTTAATAGATTGAACCTTCGCTCTTGGCACCTCACAATCAAGATAAAACAGAGTAGTTCTCCTAACCTCATTGGCATTCATGTTACTCTGAGTGCCACTTCCAGTTTGCCATACAACTAGCGGAAAGTGATCATTTAACTTTCCCTCGGCTACTTCTTGGGCTGCTTGCATTATGGCTTTCCCAATAGTTGGATCAAGACCATATTCCATGTTTACCTACAAAAACAGATTCAATATGAACAGTAGAACCATTTCCAAGCAATAATATCTCATCTCAATTGCAAAATACGAACTGTAGCACAAAAAATCAAACATCACATTATAACTTAATTTGAAAACGAATGGACCTTGGCAGCACACTTTTTAAGTACGCCAAAGGCACGAACTATAGGTTCAGGCATCCGCTCACGGTCTCCTCCGATCTCGAAGTTCTGCAACGATCTCTGCGTTTGAGCTCCCCATAATCTAAAAAGGCAAACAACGTAATTAAAATACTTATTTCACTTCATTTATCACAATTTCCTTTGAGGAAATGGAAAACAAAAGCAAGTGTTAGTCAAGCAAATCCAAAAACCAGATGAACGAGAGAGAGAGAGACACACACGAACCTGTCGGAGGGAACGTTAATCGGTCCAAACGTATCTCTTTCCTCCCTAAAAGACGTGGAGTAAGATCTCAAAGACGCAGTAGCACAACGCGCCATCCCGAACAGGTGCGAAGGCGAAGATCGCCGGGACAGAACATACGCGGCAGCCATTCTTCTGGCAAGAAGAATGAGCGAGTGATCTTGCGAGTAGAAGAGGAGATTAACGATGGAGGTCCGGAAGGTGGAATCCTCAAGGGAGAAATGGGCGGCGATAAGGCGCTAGGCGCCGGAGAGATGGCAGGTGACGTTAGAGCTTTCAGAGGAAGTTCTGAGAGAATACGGCGATTTCCTTTTGTCGGAAAATGTTGAAATGTGAAAGTGAAAGTGGAATGGCTTTCATAATCATGGCTGCGCCTGCCTCGGACCGGACTTTTCTTCCCTTCGGCCCATTCAGGCGGCCCATCAAAACGCCAACGTATCGGGTGGTAGCTTTCTTTAAAAAAACTTTTTTAATGTACGTGCCAACTCGAGCATAAATTTAAGATATTGTTATTTTAAAAGTTGATTGGTTGTCTTCTTATTTTATTATTATTATAAATTAAAAAATTAAAAAGAAAATACTTAACTCCTCAATAACGAGGAGAAACCTTGTCTTCCTCACCATTAAATGTTTGACAATAAATGCAAAAACAAAAACTTTTTTCAAATATTAAAAGTTGTCAAACATTTAGTGACAAATTGGAATTAAAAGGATGAGGAGATCATGAATATAAGTTATTTCCTATACTAAGTTAAACAAATTGGAATTACCTAATTGAATAATTTCAATAAAGTAAGGGTAAACTTGAAAATTTTAAAAGATTAAAAGACCCTTTGGTATATTTAGCTAAAGAGAAATTACCAAACAAAATGTATTTTGAATTTTTTCTTTTGTTAGTTCAACAATATTTGGGGTGGATATTCGAACCTCCAACTTTTTGGTAGATAATATATTAAGTTATTCTTCTATTGACATATTTTAAACTTATATTCCATATTTATCAAGGTCATATATATTTTCTGACATATACCTAGTAACATTAGGAGAGAACCACGATGTGGGAGATATGTTCCAATGATTATCCTTTAGAGTTTGTTGGAAATTTTATCTTATTACCCTAGAATTAATGAAATAATAGACTAAAATACAATATTTGAAAAATGATTGATTTGATAAAAGTAGAAGAAACTTTCTTTCTTTCTTTATATTCTTCATAAATGATATCAATATTTTATCCTCATCGAGTAAACAACAGTAATAACATTGGGTAGAAATTACATTAAAAGTTGAGCTACATTGAAGTTACATTAGTTAACATCTAATACTTAATATGTTTAGTTAGCGATTTGTATTAAACATAATAAATAAATTAACTTTTGATATATAATTTTAGTTAGGAGTATAATCCAATCACAACGGATTTGATATTGACTTACAATGGATTGTTATTGAATAAAAAATCAAGACCTTAAAACTTAATGGCTGTGTTTGGTTTTTATTTACTTTTCATATCTGTTAATGTCTTAATAATTGTGTTTATACCCTTAAACTAAAAAATATATATGATTACTATAGAAAAGTGGTTATATTTAGTAAGTTAACATCGTGACTACAAATTTGAATATATACATATGACACTAATTATCATCATAGAGGTAGAAAGTTTGATCTCTACCTGACTCAAAAGAAAATCAATAACATAACTTAATATCAACGGAACAACGAATCAATGAGTGATTATTATCGGCCATTGGGATGAAAAACCAATCTATGACAATAATTGGAGCTGTTAACACAGTTTCTGTCATTAAAAGAGACCAGGTAATAAACCCAAATTCAAAGCAACTGAAATTATTGCTTCTTTTCACTGTGACAATAATTAATTACAACAATTAAGAAAAAAAAAGTGGAAAGACATAAAAACCCCTCTCTTCTCAGCATGGCCAATGATAAAAAAAGCTCGGAAAAAAAAAAAATCAACATTCCCTCTCTCACGTTGTTAAAGAATTAAAGAAAAAATGAAAAGAAAAATTACTGTTTTCTATTTCCAGTTCTGCGTTTGCTATCAGCAGAAGCAGGCTGTCTCCCATTTCTGTGCAGTGGGAGGGCAACCCCATTTGATATTTTCTGCGAAGGAGAAGGGCCCAATGAAGAACTGAAGTTCTTGCTGCAAAAATGGCAAGAATTCAAGAATCCCATTAAAATAAAGCCATATATTATATAAGTTCAAGAACTAAGCTCTAGTCTAGTACAATACCTTAAATCTGGGCTCTTTACTGGCTTTCCATTCGGTTTTTTCGTTTTTGATCCAATGCTGTTGCCTATACTTGCAAGTTTGGAATGGTGGTTGAATTGCCAAAGCAAATCTGGCTCCGATGAGTCGCTCGTTCCTGCGTCGAGATCATCTATATCATCAATGCCGACAACGTTGAATCTGTTTGCTCCTGCTAGCATACCATATGCTTGGTCTGTATACATCATCTTGGAGGAGTCCTGAAGATATTTCTGGTAGAAGACATCATTTAAGTTACCATTTTCTACTTCCCAGCACCCCAACGAATTCTCGACTCGGTTCACGTCTTGCTTGTTAACCATTACCTTATCGACCCACTCACCCGAGCCCGTGTCTTTATCGTCCTCGCCGTAGTTCAGGCAAGGGCTACTTATGGGTGGCCATGGAGGTGAATTGGCCAACAGTTCATCCATGTCAAAGCTTTGCCTTTTCTGCCGTAAGGCAGAGTTATTATGAAGCTGGAGCATTAAAATTTAGGTACAACTTCAAGTTAGTAATGAAGACCAAATAAATGGACAACTTAGATGGGAGAGATATTTAAAAGAACCACCATATCTTTAGAAAAAGTTATCATATCGCCTTATTCGCCTTATTCATGACCATTCGCCTTATTCATGACCATTTCGTTTTTAGTTCTATGTTTTTAAAAATCAAGCTTACAACTCCTACTTCTATCTATGATAGAAAAAACAAGTAGTATAATTTTCAAAAGATAGAAAATAAAAACGAAATGTTATCAAATAAGACCGTAACTCCTAAGATGGTCACAAGTCACATTATTGGCTAATAAATAGCTCATTGGCAGAACCGCAGGGTACTCCAGCATTTCATCAGAAAAGAATGAAATGTTATCAGATGGAGCCGTAACTCTTGCATGTGTAGGACTATGGTTTTACTTTCGTTTATATGACAAAAATCTAATGGAATCACATTAACCAAATTAATTATTTTGAACAAAGGCCTCATTTATTAGGGGAAGAACATACCTCTATGTTGCCTACATCGCCCATAGGCTGACGGCGGATAGCATGTTCAACCAACACATCTAAATCTTGACTTTTAGGCTGGCAAGGCGATAACTCACTAGCTTTTGTCTTGAATTTCTCAGAGTTCCCGAGAGCAGGATGTTGGATTTGTTGTGGCGCCCCCTCTTTCCTTGCAAGTGCTGCCTTTAAACTTGCAATCTGACAGATAAAAATTAAGTTTCAATACAAAGCTTGAGAAAGAACATGCTCAAGATCAGATTAAATGTGAACAAATCTTGAAACCTGATCTTTGAGTTCTTTAACATCTGTAGTATCTTTGTTTACTCGAGCAGCACCAAGTTCGACTGTGGCCACTCTCTCTGCAAATTTTAGTGTGCTTAATGTCTCTCCAATAGCATCAGGTTCTGGGCTTATGTGAACAAACATCAAAGTCTTGGCTTGCCCACCTAAAAATATATAAACAAATTCCAAGTTGTAAGTCAATCTAAGATTGAGGGAGGGAGAGTGTATTCAGTATGCATATACATTCCATCTTACCAAGTGAATCTTGAAGAAGTTGTGTTAATTTGCTATTTCTATAAGGTACATGAGGATTCTTGTGGGCAAGAGAAGCAATCACATCACCGAGAGCAGAAAGAGATTTATTGATATGTTGTGCTTCTTTCAGTCTATCTCCAGTCACCTCAGACTTGTCAACTCTTTCACTTCCTGCCAAATCTACCAGATGCATACAGCCACGGAGAACGGCTCCAGATGTCAAATCTCTTCCTTGAACATGAACCGTCAAGCAACTACAAAAAATTATTCAATTGGAGTTAGCCTGGTGCACAGTGAAGCATACACAACTCAATACCACAAAGATATCTCCATTAATCACCTGTGGGAACGGCTACTACGATCATTTAGAGCTGTTGCTCCTACGGCACGATTCCTTTGGCCAAGGTTCATTAGATTGATGACATCGGAAGTTGACGACACGTTTACAAGGTTAGCATCTGGTACACTGAGGCCATTTTGAGAACTGTTGCGAATTTCTAATGTAAAAATAGTTAAGGAAAGAAAGCATTTGATAGAAAGTTACTCTATTTAGATTCTAGAACTACAAACAGGTTTGATGTTCAACTCTGTAAGCTGATAATGGATAAAACATAAGCATTACTTATGTGCATCTTCATACAATTTGCAATGAGAAATTAGTCCACCATATCTTATTTTTATGAATTTATAACTACAAACTCAAGGATAAACAAAATCAATGTGAAGGATATCTTTTATTGGTACCATCAGTGACAAGGAGATCCCTAACTTGCTCATTATAAATCTCGATCATCTGAACGGAAACATCGTAACGATAGGTTTCTTTTCTTTGTTCTGCTATTAGGAACAAATCTCCTAATGCTCTATAATTTACTCCCTGACTCTTCTCCGTTAGCTCTTTTGGCCCAGTCTAGACATGCGACAACGAAAGAGATGAGCACTTAATCTAAATTTCACAAATTTCTTAGAGGCAAACTTTAAACGTTTAATACCATGGTAAAAGTTTTCCCCGATCCTGTTTGGCCATATGCAAAAATGCAAACATTGTATCCATCAAGAACAGACCGAATGAGTGGCTGCATATCAGCAAAGACCTCCACTGCAATAGAATGAGAAAGTATTGTAAAAAATTAATGTTAAAAATCCATACCCCTTAAAATTTTGAGTTTCAACTACCTTGTGTAGCAGATGGACCAAATATTTTGTTGAAGCTGAAGGATCGATGTCCCTTCCCATGCTTTGAGGGGGCGTTAACAGTAATACTTCCATCTTCTATGTGATCCACGACACTCAAATAATTTGATTGATCGGACAAAAAGGGTCTAACTCGGCAGTAAACTCTTATACTACCTGTCACAGAGACCAAAATATTGATAATATTCAACATTAAATGCACAGAAAGTTCAAGGACCAGTGATCTTAATTACCTTTGAGATCCTGCACTTGATTATACAGCTTACGATTTTCCTCAAGAACTTTATGATATCCAGATGCAGCATGAGCAAGACTATTAACGTGCATACCTGCATTAATAAAAAGCAAAACAAATTGAAATGAGATAAAAAGCTATACACTTGCATAAACTCTTATAATTTGACAATAAGTCCAATAATCTTACCGAGGTTGTGGAACTCTTCACTAAATTTTACTTGCATAAACTGCATTCCAGCTTTTGCAGCGTGCAGTTTATGTTTTAGTTCCTACAGCAACTTAAAATTAGTATGGACATGATGAACAATACATAAGAACAAATTTAATAAGAATATGTTTCAGCTACATACCAGAACATCCTTTTGCTGCTGATCAAAAATAATTTGCTGCTTCAGAATCTGGCTCTTTGATTGCTCCTCAAACATACTCCTTTCATGGACTATTTCAACTTTTTCCACCCTTTTAACACCAAAAGCTGGTTTCAACTGTGACTTGTTGCCTTGCGGTGCAGCCACATCTTTTGAGGTTACTTTTGCCTGTGATGTAAATAAATAGTAGAGATATAAACAAGATGTAAGCCAACAAATGAAACAAGATTGTTGAATCTACATACCAGTTCAAGGCTGGAAAAGCGATTCTCAACCTCATCCACAAGCTTGCTTAGCAGTGATTCTACCAACTACAACAAGATAGAGCAACATAGTTTAGAAAAAGTTGTGGACATCTTCATTTTGTATAAAATAGAATACACTACATGTGCTCTATGCAGGAGAAACAATTGCCATTGATTATAGCCAGGTATTTAAAAGAAGAAAAAAGTATGATCTACACTCAAAAAATAAAAATTTAGATAGATGAATTGTGTCAAAATAGAAACCATTTTTTGGCTCTTTCTTGGGGGATGAAACCTCAATTCATCAGCAATATCCATTTATCTTGATCTAAGGCTACCATCATCAAGCACCAAATCCTATCAAGAAATCTACAAGAACAAGAGTACTCAAGGAGCAAGAACATGTTCAGTCATTACCACTGGGATTTCTTCAGGCCTTTTATCTGTCAAAAATGCCCGAATGAGGGACGAGCGAGAACCATTCTGCCACAACGAATAATTGACAAGAAATAAAGTATTAGAATCAATAAACTCGAGACAGACAAGCAAATAACACTAAATTGAAACAATCCACATTACTAACATTGGAAGATGATGAACAGTTGAGAGATTTTTCATTCAGGGAAGAGGTTCTTGACAAGGAATTTGTGAATGGCTCTGAATTCTTCCTCACAAAGGATTTAGTGGAGGACATAGTAGCAGTAGGTTTCACATTCCCACCGAATTTCCAAACTCCATAGCCTCCACCCTGCTTCCACTCACCGTAAGATTTAAGAGCCAGAACAGTATTCACAACCCTGCCACAGGCAGATTTCCCACCCTGCTCGAGATCAGACGCCTCAAAGGCAGGAACTCCCATCTCCTGTATGGCCACAAGAAAGTTCCTCACATTCTCGAAATACTGAAATGCTGACAGCGCTGCTCCATCAGGGATGAGCCCAGAATCACAAGGACTTTCAACCACCTAACAAATTGTTCATGGGAGAGCAGAGACTGAGAATTTAGGAACCAAATAACAATAAACCCAATTGAGAAATTGGCTCACCTTGGGCACTGCTCCTGATTGCACCTTGTTCAGGACATTGCACAGAATGATCCCACTTCTCAATCCGAGCCTAAATTCTTCCTCTGACGGCTCAGCCGGCAAATCTTTAGCCGCAACAACGCCGATCATCTTCCTCAGCCATCCAGCGGCTTCGTTTCTTCTAGATGCTAGTAATTTAAAGAACCAATCTCAAAATAAGTATCAGAAAAAAAAATGATTCACTAAACTCCGAAGATTTGGGAAAATAAGATTAGAAAGCGGAGTTACCGGCTTCCTCGGCCCTCCTAGATTCCAAATCGAGGCCGCCTCCTCCACCAGCGAGGCGATTCCCGTGCTGTTGAAGCACATCGTCCACCAGGGATGCCACTGAAAACGACGGCGTTCTATCCATTGCCTCCATCTTGGTCTTGTACAGAGAAAAGAAAAATCAAAATCCTCCCCAAAAATCAACAGCCAATTGCAGCACACTGCATCGGGTCCTCTGGGTACAAAGATCTACAAGAGAGAAGGAAGAATAAAGTCTGTGAATATTAATGGAGGAAGTGGCGATCCTCCCTCTTGCTGTTGTTGTTGTTGGAAATGGAAATGGAAATGGTAATGGTAATGGCGTTTGTTGATATTTCTCTGTTACCTTACCAGTTCTCCATTGCTTCCCACTTTTTTGCTTTCGCTTTTTTCCTCTCTCTCTCTCTACGAACAAAGTAAGATAGATACTCAAAGAGTAGAGCCCTCTCTCTCTCTCTATCTGTTATTCTTATGCCTTTAATACTCTCTCTCTACCGCTTTCTGCTTTCCCGAACCTAGCGCCGAGCCTCCACCTAACGGCTCCTTAAAGCGCGTGGTTCGGCAGTACTTGTATTTCAAACAAATGGGAATAAATTGAGGTTAGAGGTGGTAATTTTATGCACCTGCCATGTGTCACGTGATGATGGGATGACCTGGCCACGTAGGATTATTTAGGACTTCCTTTTGCTGCTGGAATGTTAATACTCTGTTTGTAATTGGTTTCGGCTCGTCGTTGGGAAGTTATTGGAGACGGCCAGAAATGTTTTGTGTGGTTGAATCCTTTGCCTTCGTTGGATTTCTTAGGGTCAGATGCCGTCTGGTAGTGGTTTAGGTATATCCACTGATCTTACGGAGCTGCAAGCTTGTAACTTCTTGTCTGGAAATATACGAAGGATAGTATTATCTAGATTTTGACCGTGATCAAGATTGTATTCCATCTCTAAGTACTATGATTGCCATTCGTCCTATTAGCTCTCAAGTGTCTTGACACCATTAGTTTGATGGGTTTTACCCTTAAACATTCTTTTTTAGTTGGGTTGGCTATTTGTGATTGGTAATACATTTTCGGTGTCCTCCTATTCCAGTTTCCTATATGTTCTCTATTTTGATGGGTTGAGACTCGAGACCATCTCTTTTTTCAGTGTATGTTTAGCAAAATTATATGGGGTGATATGATTGCATCGGCAGGTTCTTCACATCGTATTTGTCTTGGGGTACAGAGCTAGCTGGATTTATGTTGTATTAGTAGAGGAAGTTCACCTTGTTGATGGACAATTCTTGGCCAATTAATAAATGTCACGTCACAATTTAAGATTATATTTAGAACCAATGCTAAATTTACATGTGTCCTAAATTGATTTTAAAATCGACAAATTAAATTATGCCACGTGTATTTTCTATAATTGAGGTAGGAGAGAAAGTTTTGTGTGATTATAATATTTTTCACATGGTAGACTTTTCTTTTTGATAGGTCATGTTTTCTCTAGTTTAGAGTTTTTTACATAAATTTTTGTAGTTGTTATTTTCTTTTAATCCCGATTATTTTTCATCACAAACAATCTTCCCCGTCTAAAAAGGTAATAAGAGGCTAATTGATGTTTAATATATCGAGACCAACCATACTCTTTGTATATAATATTGAATTTTCTATATCTTCATAAGTTCAACCAGTTATTATCTATTAAACTAAGAACCTAATTAAACTACAAAAATATGCAAAATAAATACTCTTAACATAAATATTCTTTAATATGTTGCTTGCTTAAGAATTTAATTAATTCTTAGACATATAAAGAAAAAAAGTGGTGAGAACATGACCATTACTTTACAATTTTTTACCCCTCATGTATAGTGACATCTATGAGCAATAGCTTAAAGGGCAAAAAGACGAATGAAAAGTGTTGGTGTATGGTATATACTTAAATGCAAACTAAATTGGTTAGAAGTTTGGTTGATAATTATTTAGAGGTTGTCTATGTACGTAATTAAAATATTGATGGCGTTCATATTTATAGATTAAAATCAGCATCGATGTATTAGCATTTTCGTTGATATATTGGTCAATGGAAGAATTTGGTATCGAAAGTCTATTTATGATTAAAAATTAAATGAAATAAAATAAAAAATGAATTGGTTGAAACTTTCTTCTTCCATTCATATTTTCTCAATTTGATCACTTTGTATCTTTGAGAAAGAATATAGAAAGTTGTAATTACTCAAAGCATCATTTTCTCTCTATACCAAGTATTCTATTAATTGTTTGTTAATTTTGGAGGCATAATGTCAGCATTATCATTGATGATAATGAAGTGAATAATAAGTTTACCACATATTTCCTAATTAACCTATTAATATGTTTCTATCAATATATACAAAAAAAAATTATAGAATATAAATAGTACAACAAATTAGATGTGAAGATTCGTATTAAAGATGAATAAATCACCACTTCAATAACAAAGGACCTCCTGCTCTGATACCATATTAAGGATAAATAAATCACCACTCAACCAAAAGCTTAAGTTGATGGGTTAGGTAAATTTAATTCCTATATGGATATTCCAACAATAAGAACTCATAGTCTCTTAGTTAGGATCATGTGCGAATTACCTCTAAGCTAAATCAAAATCATGTTGGCTCATATAATATATATTAAGAAACATGTGTTTATACTTTTTTTTTTTTTGAATGTTTGAAAGTTTAGAATAGTAGAGAGCATGAAAAGAGAGATTGTTTAGATTTAGGATTGAGGATGAACTATCGACTAGCCATAACCAATATCCATTTGGTTAAGAAATTGAGTTAACTAACAACGTACAGGTAAAACCAAACCCATATTTGTTAAGTTGTCTCAATATAAGTATAAATAAGTTTTAACTCATTTTCTAAAGCTTGAATATCAAAAGTAAAACCTTTTATCAAACTTTATCGTCCAAAAATCTATTTAAAGCTCTTATACTTTTTTATGTAATTTTGATTTCATTAAATGATTTTTCTAATATTTTAGTATAAAGTTAAACCTGTATAGTTCAATTGATTAAGATATATTCCTTCCACTTAAAAGTTTAGAAATTTAAATCCTTGTCAAATGAAGAAAAATTTACATATATATTTAATTTAAAATTAAGGTGCACCGTTGGAAGAAAAAATTCCCGCCATGACAGTTTAAAAATATTCAAATAAATATGGGAAATAAAACCTTATTTTAATTTTTGAAATTCGAAAGATCGGTAGGTTTTTTGTCCATTAGCAGCGCTTTTTAATTATAAAACAATGTCGCATTAGAGGCCTTGTCTGACTGGAAATTATTGAAAAAGTCAAGGAAAAAAAAAAAAGAAAATAATCATCCTGGGCTGGGAGTTGCTGGAAACTTTCAAAGTTCATTTTAAATTTTGAAGTTTGGGAAAAAAAAAAAGATGAAGTCTCGTTTGACTGATTGATATGACATGTACTATTCAAACGGTAAAATATTAAATATTTGATAATTCATTATTATTTAAAATTAATAATATTTATGTTTTTGCATTTCTTTCTTAATTGTCAATGATAATATTTATTTTCTAAACTAAATATATATTTTAGACCAATGTTTTGCTATTTTTTTAAATTTAGTTCTTTTCGTTAAGAAAATTTTAATTTAGTTTCTTATATTATTTTTTCAATTTAGTTTTTCAGCATTGTTAAATGTTAAAAATTGATTGATAAAAAACTTTCGTTACATAATACTTAGTGAATTGGCGAAAATTCAAACAAAGTGAAAAAGGGAATCCAAGAAAATAAAGTTTTTAAGAACGTATATATTTAAAAATTAGGCGTGAGGCATGAGGACGTGAGGACCATTATTTTTAATTCAAATTAATAATAAAAATTATTAAAAAGGTGACTTTKGAAAGAAAAAACGATGAGTACCAGGCGGTTGGCCATCGGTCTCACTCACACAAGATTTAAAAATTATGGTTGTTGAAAATAGTTACCAACAAACAAATAAACATTCAACAATCAAAGAAAAAATTAACTGAATCATTTAGTTTAATTATCATTATCATTATCTTTCATTTCATTTGTTTTATGTTTTCAATCATTAGAGTTTCTTTTTCATGTCTGTCGAATTGAATTTAGTTCCATGGATTAAGACATTTATTTTTTGAATGAAAAAATAGTGTTTGAATCCCCACTCTCACACTATATATTATATAAAAAATGTTGATATATGTTTTTCCTCTTTATAAGCATACTTGGGCGGGAGTTAAAAGTAAATATGATTAATGATGGATGCCAAAAAGAGAAAAAAAATGCTTTTTTTTTCTGTTTAAATAATATTTTGATTCATGTGCTTTTAACTTTAATTTATTTTGGTTAAAGTGATTATTTTGGTCCTAGTTTGTTCATGTACTTTTAAAATGTCCATTTTGGTCATTGTAATTTGAAAAGTGACTATTTTGATCTTTTCATTTTCATTTTTATCTTATGCCTTTTAATCATAATTTTAACATCACATTTCACTCACTAAATTTATTGAGATGTAGTCATAAATTTGTATTGAAGAGTTTCCATTGTGTATAAAATTTATGTTAAACTTTTAAAAAATATGGACCGAAATGACCATTTTTTAAAATTACAATGATCAAAAGAGATATTTAGAAAGCACATAGACTAATTAAAATGAACAAAAGTTAAAAGTATATAGTCCAAATTGAACGTTTTGAAAATACAGTGATCAAAATTAACCCAAACTAAAAGTATACCGAGCAAAATTGTATTTAAACTTAGATTTTTTTAATGATTTTTTTCTTAAAGTTAAATTTTTGTCATTAGTAGTCTCATAAGATCAATATTAGTTGATCGAAGTGGGAAAAACATTTTTATTTGTTTGGTGAATTCATCGTACAATTAATATATTTAAAATATGAAGTTAGAAGTCATTAATGTTACTTGTTTTAGTAGAAACACGCCTCAAGCTCATGCAATGGTATAACCTTGTAAAAAGGAAATAAACACTTTTTATAGGGGGAGTGAAGAGACAAATTCATTGTAGACTTTTTTTTAAGTACAACATGTGAGAGTGTGAGATCGAACTCACAATTTCTTGATTGGAGATATATGCCAATTACTGCTAAACTATGCTCACTTTGATGTAATATGTCTTAATTAAATCTTGGATAAAATATATTTTTGGTCCCCGAGGTTTAAGGTAGGTGTCTACTTGGTCCCTAAAGTTTCAAAATGAACAGTTTTGGTCACAGAGATTTGAGGTAGGTGTCTAATTGGTCATTGAAGTTTCAAAATGGGTACTTTTGGTCTTTGAGGTTTAAAGTAGGTATCAACTTGGTCCCTGAA